GTTCATTGATCGGAATGGCAGAAAGATGACCCTGTTGTTGCATTTCCCAAATGCCTTTGCTAGCCAGAGCTGGGCCACGCTGGGTCCTGGGGACTCAGTCTGGGTCTTCCATGTGGTTGGTGATGTCCCAGGTGCATGTTGGAGCTTGAATCTGAAGTTGAGTTTGAACTAGAGTTTAGTCTCTCTGACATAGGAAGTGTTTGCCATTTCCTCCAGCATTCATCCGTAAATTATTTGTTAGAGTTTTGCTTTAAGTCAATCACCTTTCTTACCTGGCTTGTGAAAGAATCGGTTAACAATTCAGACGAGATCGGGCACGTTCAGGGTGGTATGGCCGTATTCTGGTTTATAATTCAGATGTCGCTGGGAGTCCTTTATTTAATGTGGCAGCCCTAGTGGCTGTATGGTCATACCCAAATTTCCCGTAGAGTATGAAATTTAGGAGAGCAGACATTATTTTGCTCACCATGTTACCCACAATATACTTATAAGTACTTAATGAGTTGACCATCTAAAGCAATATTTTTTTCTTCCACTTATATAGGTGAATAAGCTTTATGTGTTTTAGGGGGACACATGTAGTAGTATGGGGGATGTTTCCTAGCCTACCCTCCTTCCCAGGCACACATTCGTGCTCCCTGCTCGTTCCATTCTAATAGCAATGAATATTACAAGGATCTTAACTACAAGATGGGAACTGTGACTGAGGTTGGGAGAGTAACGCAGTTCTTGGAGTTGGCGTGTTTGCAGGTGTTCTCATGTTCCAAGTTCATGTAAAACAGTCGAGTAAGGGAGGAATTCCTTTGAAGAGACTGTAGGTAGCTCATTCTCCTGATAAAAGCCCTTTCTGTTTTTCCCGTGTGTATGTGTGTGTGTGTTTCAAAGACTGTTAGAAACAAAATGAGCTAGACTTGTCTATGGATGTGTTAGGAAAACTGGCAACTAATCCTTTCTACCAGGGTCTAAGACCAGAAAAAGACACTAGAGTAGGAACAAGAGAGATTTCCAAACTATATATGGAGAAGGTAGTGCAAATTTGAAATTTCTATCATTGCATCTAATTTGTTGCACTTCCACAGATGTTTTGCTCTGTGTTGGATAAAGCAAACAGCTTAATCTGGCAAATATTTGTCATTTATGAAGTGCCAGTGTTGCAACTATTCTCTGGAACTTACAAAGCTCAAGCGAGTCATGAAGTTCAAAAAGTAGTTCAGTGACCAGAGCAAGTGGATGTGCGTGCCTCCACAGCAAGCCCTCCACCAGGGCTCTGATGGTATAGCAGAGCTGTGACAGCAGACAGGGGCTGGTAGGCTGGTAGGCTGGGCTGCTTAGGTTTAGAATTTACTTATTTGAAAGGCAGAATTACACTGGTTTATTCCTCTAAATGGCCTTATTATCTGGGGCTGGCCAGACAGGAGGTAGGATCCTGGAATTCCCTAAGGGTCTCCATTGTGGATTGTCATTTGCTGCTTTTTCCAGGCACATTAGCACAGAGCTGGATTAGAAATGGAGCAGCAGGCATTCAAACCAGTGCACCTGGGCTGCCGGCACTGCAAGAGGCAGGTTAATGTGCCAAGCCATACCACCAGCCCCCATGGTCACCCTTAAGCATAAATGTTGGCCTTATTTGAAGTCCTAGTTTTAAGATGTTCATAAGCCAAATTTGCGCCTCACCTCTCTGGTTCTAGAGGGAGAAACGGTTGACCTACACTGACCACATGATGAACACCTAGCTAGTTTATGAAAATGCTCTCTGCAGGGAGGTCAAGTGTGTTCACGATGGTCAGCACCAAAGTCAGACATGGATCTCGGCTGTTTGGTTCACAGATGAATTCTCTGCCATTACTACTCCTTCATAGCCTCCCCTGAGCCACTGGGCAACTCCTGGCTGGCTAAGAGAATTCTCCAGAAAAGCTGCTAACGAAAAGCAGCGGGAGCTAACAATTGCAGCAGCCTGGAGCAAGTCACTAAGCTTGATAATTATGTCATGTTTACAGCTGTACCTTGTGAATTCTTCCAGTAGTAATGTACTGGGTATCTAGAAAGAAAATCACAGTATGGCTTTTGAAATAAAAAAAAAAAAACATAAGACTTAGAAGAAACTACATGTATTTAAAACAACACAAGGAGATAAATATGTAGTACAATTCTCTCTGTGTGTTAGAGTCTGGGTGTGATTTATTGCTTGATTTCAGCATAGGAATGTATTTTGTTTTTGCAAGTAAAGACTAAGCCTTAAATAGATGGAACAGTGTTGTCAGGTGGCCACGTGTAGGTTTGTAGATGGTCATTATGTTAAACGGTAAAGGATTGTGCTGGTGCAGAGATCCTTGGCTGGAGCCAATGACCACCACAGTGGAGTCAGATTAAGCCAGAGAGAAAGGATTTGGGGTATCTTCTTCCAACGTTTCTAGATAGCCCTCTCAAATAAAACTTCCATGAAATGTGCAGAAATTTTTACAAGTTTTTGCTAAGGTCCTGAAAACCATAACCTTTGTGAGTGTTCAACTATTTGTTGTTGTTACATTTATTTAGTTTAATTTTTATTTATAGAGAGGACAGATCTTCCATCCACTGATTGACTCCCCACATAGTCACAATGGCCAGAACTGAGTTGATCTGAAGGCAGGAGCTTCTTCCAGGTCTCCCTCACAGGTTCAGGCTCCCAAGGCTTTGGGCTGTCCTCCACAGCTTTCCCAGGCCACAGGCAGTGAGCTGGATGGGAAGCAGAGCAGTCTGGATACATGCCGACACCCATATTGCATCCTGGTGTTTGTAGGTGGATTAGTGATGCCATTGTGCCAGGCCTGAGTATTCAATTGTTTGATAATAGTTTGAATACTTACACTTTTTTTTCACCTAGAGTATTTTAAAGTTTCAGTTGGGGTGGGCATTAGACTCAGTGTTTAGATGCTGCTTGGCGTACCCACATTCCATTTTAGAGAAGGCCTGTGTTTGAGTGTTCACTCTGTTTGAGTCAGGCTTTCTGCTAAGATAACATGCACGCTGGAGGGGGCAGTTATTTAGCTCAAATGTTTGAGCTCCTGCCACCCACATGGAAACATCAGTTTAGCTCTGGGTTCCGTTTCAGTCTGGTGTAACTTTAGATGTTATTGGCATTTGGGAGCAGAACCCATGGATGGCAGATTCATGATGGTTTGCCTGTCTGCCTTTCAAATAGGTAAACATTAGCAGTTTAAGATTTGGGGGTTTATTTCCAAATCCCCTAATTGCTATTTAACAAAGTAAAATTAAGCTCTTTTGAAAAGTGACATCCAAGGGTATTTCTAAAAGGTTGTGGAAAATGAAATTGAAAGGTAAATTTAGGGGTCTGGCGCAGGAGGCTAGTGGCTGGGTTCCTCGCCTTTTGTGCATGTGGTATCCCATAGGGGCACTGGTTTGTGTCCCAGTGGCCCTGCTTCCCATCCAGTTCCCTGATTGTGGGCTGGGAAAGCAGTCGAGGATGGCCCAAAACCTTGGGACTCTGCACCTGTGTAGAGGAAGCTACTGGCTTTGGATCGCCTCAGCAGCAGCCGTTGCAGCCAATTGCAGAGTAAATTGCAAGATCTTTCTCTCTGTCTCTCCTCTCTGTATATGTGACTTTCCGACAAAAGTAAACAAATCTTAAAAATGAAAAGGGTAAATTTAGAGACTACTTTTGTGTCCGAGCAGGCTGAGCTTCTGCTTGTGCAGCTGGCATCTTGTATTGGAACTCTGCAACAGTGTTGGCTGTTCCACTTCTAGTTCAGCTCCCTGCTACTGCAGCAAAAGACGGCCCGAGGACTTGGCTCCTGCCCCCAGAGGGAAACCCGAATGGAGTTTCTGACTTACACAGGCTCAGTCCCAGCCTTTGTAGGTTTTTGGAAAGTGAACCTCTCTCTGTAACTCTGCCTTTAAAGTAAATAGATCTTTCCTGAAAAAGATAAATTTATCTTGCTGAACAACGTTTGAAATCCATGCATGTACCACGTCATTCAAATATGCGTGAAAAGTACAAATGATGGAAAATACTTTGCGTGAATTAAAAAAAAAAAAGTTGGTGATGAATGCCATTTTTTTCCTTTATCTTAAATATCCTTCTATCTTGCCATGTCATAAAACTATGTTGGAGTTGATGCATCTGAGTGAAAACTGTGACCATTAAGAAGTTTGAGTGTCAGTTTCTTTCTGTGAAACGATATTTCCACACTTTTGGCAGGCTCTGTGTAAAGTTACTATGGGTCATACTTAGTAATCTCATAATAAGTACTAGAGTTCGGTCTGTGGTGGTACCACAGTAAGAACTGTTGGCACCATTGGTGCCATCACCTCTGTCATCATTTTTGACATATCACTTAAATGAATAGTAAAACTTTCAACAGTCCAGTTAGGGGGGTTGGAATTGTTCATGGTTGATGGCTTAGCTGCAAAGGCAGCATCCCATCTGGCCACTGGTTCATGTTCTGGCTGGACCAATTCTGACCCAGCTAATGGTCTGGAAAGAGCAGTGGAAGATGGCCCAAGTGCTTGGACCCCTGCCACCCACATGGGAGACCTGGACGAAGCTGCTGGCTTTAGCCTGGCACAGTCCTGGCTTTGGGGAGTAAAGTACCCGACGGAAAGTCTGCCTTTCTCTCTCTCCATATTTCCCTGTAGTTCTGAATTTTGAATAATCTTTCAAAAAGATCTCCAGTCTTGGGGTTGGACTGCATGGATTGAATCTGGGCTCTGGTACTTACCTGGGGTGAGTTTGGGTCCCTTCTCTTTACTGCAAGTGCTGCTGACCCAAGAAAGTTATCTTGAATGCAGTAAGTTGCTGATATGTAAAAGGCGCATGGTAAGTACTTTGTATATAGCCATATCTGCTTTTAAAGATTGAGTGTTTTCATCCCTCAAACTTGATTTGGGAATAAATGTGCTAATAGTAAATTCTGGTTAGGACGATACAAACTTTTAAAAACCTGTGTGCTTTTGTCTATCCTTCAGCCACTATTTCTCTGTCAACCAGAAGATACTCAATGATGGCTGAAATGAGGAAGGGGACTGAGAAACGACACAACCCAGTGGAAAGCATTCGTAGAAAAATCAAAGCCATCCAGAGGAGAGAAGCTGCGTTGGATCCAGCGCAGCAGATAGGTAAGTACCGCACCAGCAGTTTTGAGAGTCCATGGGTCCACAGCAAGAAGCTGGCGGCTTGCTTTCCAGTGCCCACCTCGCCTCTTGCAAGTTTGGACAAATTTGCCGCCTTCATTTCTTGTCCGGAAGTGGCATCTCCAGGGACACCAGTCCTGCCTGCTTTCAGCACTCCTGAGAGTGAAATGTCCTCTGTCCATCCCCCACGTTTCAAGAACAGCTCGGAGTGGGCATTAAGCACCAAGTGCAGACACCTGCCTGGGCTGGCACAAAGAAGAGACAAGCTCCTCTTGGATGAGGACTTGGACAGTTGCTGCACTGAAAGAAGTTCCAGTACCTTTGTAATTGACCCTGGTTCTGCTTCTGGTCAAAACCCTGAGTGTTGGAGTCCTCAGGAGTTGGTGGTGATGCGGTTATCTCTGAATGTTGATGCTAAACATTCATCTGTTAACATCGGTGCTTCCAGTTAGCTGTAGGCCTGTGTACTTTTAGAATCCTGGAACTCAACAATCATTAAAGTTGAGATAGAGGTATCTCTCTTTTAACTTAGTTTACATCAGTTAAAAACCTGATGTGAATTCTGGATCCAGCTTACTGGTCTGAAAACAGTTTTCCAGGATGAATGGGAATCTCACAGGGGGCAGACTTAGATGTAAGGGAGTTAAAACTCATACACCTGACAGGTGTCTTACTGGAGTGGCCATTTTAGCATTTCTCTTTTGGAGGAGTTCAGTAAACTTAGGAGGAATTGTTCCACTGAAGAAAGAGAGGAGGGAGGCCAGAGGAGAAGGACTGGAGCTCCTCAGTTTCGCCTCAGGAAATGCTAAGACTGTTGGAAGGGTCACAGACACTGAAAAACAAACAAAAATGTAAAATGGCATCCATGCTATATAGTGGATTCTGTTTACTTCTAGTTTGGTTAGAAAAAAAATTTATATATTTCATTTGAAAGGCAGAGTTGAGGGAGAGAGAGAGAGAGAGAGCTTGCCTCTGGTGGTTTACCCGGGAAATGGCTGAAATGGCAGAGCTGAGCAGGCTGAAGCTGGGAGCCAGAAGCTTAATCCTGCCCCTCGCATGGGAGAGACCGTATTCAGCTACTCTCCAGGGATGTTAGCCTTGAGCTGCATTGGAAGTGGAGCACTTAGGACTCAAATCAGTGCTCCTATCAGATGCTGGTGTGGCAGGGATCCCAGAGAGGGAAAGATCTTCCATCCACTGGTTTGTTCCCCAAATGGCCTCAGTTGCCAAAGCTGGGCCCATCCAAAGCCGGGAGTCAGCAGTCTGTTCTGGGCCTCCCACATAGGTGCAGTGTTCTGAGGCTCTGGGCCATCTTCTACCATGTTTCCAGGCCATAAACAGGGAGATGATTGCAAGCAGAGCAGCCAGGGCACTAACTGGTGCCTGTATTGGATGCTGGTGCGTGGGGGTAGAGGATTAACTTATTGAGCCACCAGGCCAGCGCCCTGATTTTGGGGGAGAGGGATATTTTTATCTGTCATGGCAGTCATATTTTCATGCTTTTAATATTATAGGGCCAAAAATATTTTCATTTCTCGATCTCCTTCCCATTCCTCTTTATAACATTTAAAAGAAGAAAGAAAACTAGTAGGGGACTCTTCAAGTCCATCTTCTAATGGATTCATTCAGGCCAAGTCCTTGCTACTCACTACTGGTTATTAAGAGGCCTTCACTATTAAAGTTAAACCCGGCAAATGGGAAATGGATCATTGAAGCACAGAAAAGCATCTGTTCTTGCAAATGTTTTCTTTTCATAGAATGGAAACCGGGAGGTGATGATGGCAGAGATGTTGTCACCAGCAGCACCCCAAAGACCTGTGAGGACCAGCAGCTGGCTGGTATTTTTCGTGCATGGGACATAGCCCACAGAGGTGAGTCGAAAGTTGTCTGCTGAGATATCTGTACCTGCAAGTCATCTGGACTTTCTGTTGTGAGAGAAAGGGAAAGCAATGGTTGCATGGTGTCTGGGGAACTGTGTCTGCATGGACTGAGTATAAGCTAAATCAGGAGATGTGTTGGCTATTGAGGCCTTGGTAGTTATCATTTCTTCGCCCTTCTTCTGCTTGTTGTAAAAATGACGAGATGTGTGTGCTTTTAAAAATTCATCAGTGGACTTAACAGCCCTGATCGTTGACTGGAACTACTAGCATGTCATGGGCATTGCCTTATGAGCAATATTTCAACTCTATAAAACCACCGGCCCAGTTTAGGTCAGCATTTTTTTTTAAGATTTATTTTTATTATTTTTTTATTGGAAAGGTGGATATACAGAGAGGAGAGACAGGAAGATCTTCCGACAGATGATTTACTCCTTAAGTGAGCACAACGGCCGATGCTATGCCGATCTGAAGCCAGGAGACTCTTCCGGGTATCCCACGCGGGTGCAGGGTCCCAAAGCTTTGGGCTGTCCTCGACTGCTTTCCCAGGAAACAGGCAGGGAGCAGGAAGGGAAGCGGGGCTCCCAGGATAGAACCAGCGCCCATATGGGATCCCAGGCGTGCGGGGCGAGGACCTTAACCATTTGCACCACCACGTGGGGCCCAGTTTAGGTCAGAATTTTTAACTATAGATTTTTCACTTCTCTCTTCTTTTTGTGGGGAGATACATTCTTTTCGAAGTTTTTGCAAATAATTTTTAACACATAAATGATTCGCATGCACCTTAAGTTAGTGATGATAAGCAAAGCAAATCCCTTTTGGAAATCCCCTTATCCGTAAGAGGGGAGAGAGTTGTATTATTCGGTCACATGATAATGGAGGTGAACAAGTCCCAAGAAAGTCAGGGTGAGGCAGCCAGCTAGTTGAGATGATTCTGTCTTTGAGCCGGGGCACAGCATCAGCTCAGGCAGGGCAGGTATGTGTGTGACTTCATCAGGATTATTGGGTGACTTGCTTGTGGCCTGGGGCCCAGCAGTTCTCATGGAGCTCTCTGGATGTGTTTCAGTTTCAGGGACCACATATGACTTGGACGTGTCATCGCAGGGAGCCTGGTGAGTGTTCTCACTGGTAACAAAATACAGTCCGCCTTTCTTACTGATTTGTCTTATTTCATAACTGCATATTCATGAAGAAGTCACTTAACCCTTTTTTGTGTGTGGTAGAAGAAACCTACTTCTATATTCTATGCCATCTGTTTTAGAGCCAGCTCTTCAGGAACATGTATATATATGCAGACATTTATTGAGAGTTTACAATTTGCCATGCGTGAGTGACTGGATTTCCACACTTAGTAATAGTCATCTCATCAATCGCTTGAAGATTTTATTATGATACCAAATTTTCTATTGTGAAACCACAGTTCAGTAACTTGTCTAAGATCATTCAATTCAAATAATGAGGCTGGGTATGGAACAGAAAGGGATAGGACAGATTAGGGAATGGATGGGAGATTATATATTTACATAGGAACTTGAATTGTGGAGGTAACTGTGAAAAATCATGTTTGTGAATCACAAACTTTGCGCACTTATGCAAGAAGTCATCCTGTTGGTGCTATTCCAGCGTTGCGAACCTTTTGAAAGCTCCTTCAGTGACGGTGGTCTTAAGTAAATTATCCATTTCTTGTAAATCCCTGAATACTGAATAATCATTAAAAGTAGAATTTGAATTAGGTTAATGTACATTGGAAGAACTATCCAAGTGTGTGCATTTCAAATAACAGGCTAAAGATCTGTATATTGGTGAAATCCCATTTTTGTCAGGTAGTGGATACACATGGGGAAAAGTTGGCAAAACTCTGAAATGATCTGCACTGCATGGTGATGTCTGAGTTTTTAAAAATATGTAAATTTTATCTTTAATAAAAAGATCAATAATTCTTCTATAAAACGGTGAAGGCAAAAGAAAAACTTTTTTATGACAAATATAAAGGAACAGAAAAATCTGGGAGAAAATACTGCAAAATGTAAGAATGGTTGACGTGGACGTAGGTAAAGATAAAGGGGTGATGTGAGTTTTTCTTTCATCTGAGACTGAAAACAGACATCAGTGTAGTGATTCCTTGGTGTCCACGGGAGGATGGCTCCAGGCTCGCTTTGGTGCTGCAAGTCCAGAGGTGCACAGGGCCCTCAGATGTGTCTCTGCATGTATTTCGGTTCCAGGGACCACAGATGAAGTAATGGCACAGTGTTTGTGTGGAAGTTACATAATTGCCCTGTATGCTATAAGTCAGTTTCAGATGACTTACACCTAATATAGTGTAAATGCCATCTGAATAGTTCATGCGCTGTGTTAACAGATGATAAGAAGAAAGTCTCTACTTGTTTGGTACAGATGTGTTTTTCCTAAATATATTTACTTATTGGTAAGGCAGTCCACATTAGAATGAAGCAGCTAAGGCTGGGAGCTCATCTGGGTTTCCCACGTGGGTGGCAGCAGTTCAAGTACTTGGGCCATTTCCATGGCTCTCCTAGGTGCATTAGCTGGCAACTGGATCAGAAACGGAGCAGATGGGGCTTGAACCAGCATATAAATGGGATGCTGGTATTGCAGACAGTGGTATTATCCAGTGTGCTACAATGCTGTTTCCCTTGTAGCCCAAGTTGTTTTGATCCATGGTTGATAGGAACCGTGCATGTGGAGCCAGCTGACTCGGGTATCTGATTGTACAAATCTGGAGAGCTGTGTGGTTACATAAGAACAGGAAGCTAAGGATTCAATGTTTAGAAAGCTTGAATAGTAAAACTTCAACCCCAGTATTGACATACTGGTTGGGAGCTTGGTACCTTCATTCAGACCTAGAATTGTGGAGGTAACTGTGAAAAATCATGTTTGTGAATCACAAACTTTGCGCACTTATGCAAGAAGTCATTCTGTTGGGTGCTATTCCAGCGTTGCGAACCTTTTGAAAGCTCCTTCAGTTACGGTGGTCTTAAGTAAATTATCCATTTCTTGTAAATCCCTGAGCTCCATGCAGTGTCTCTTCTGAATTAAGAAGAAAAAGTGGCGTTCCTGGTGCGTTGGTGCAGCGCTTAAGGTCCTCGCCTTGCATGCCCAGGATCATATAGGTGTGCTGGTTCTAACCCCTTGTCCCTGATTCCATTCCAGCTCCTCGCCTGTGGCCCAGGAAAGCTTTCCAGGACAGTGGAAAGCTTTGGGACCCTGCACCCACGTGGGAGACCCTGAAGAGGCTCCTGGCTTCAGATCGACATAGCATCGGCCGTTGTGCTCACTTGGGGAGTGAATCATTGGACGGAAGATCTTCCTCTCTGTCTCTCCTCTCTGTATATCCTCCTTTCCAATAAAAAAGAAAAAAATTAAATCTTTAAAAAAAAGAAAAACAAGAAGAAAAATTGGCTGGTTAGCAGGCCACGCCCTATCTCTGGGAACACCCCATAGTGGTACTTGGTGTTCTGGGTTATCCATACTCTGTGTATATTGGTGACACTTATTGTAACATGACTCAGCTCTTTCTAGGTGTTAGACAGCTGGAATCACTTTTCTCTGCTACTCTGTGAGTCTAGATGCTTCAGTCTAAGTCTGGAATACAAATTCTTAGTAGTAATCTCAAATTACTCTTTGCTCATCCAGAAAACCTTTCATATGTTTTCTGAAAGAAACTGCCATTCATAAGAGGGTTATGATGTGACTTTTAAGCTCTTTGGAGATGATTTTTTTCTTTAAGGGATTGACTTAGTTGAAAGGCCAAGAGTGAAGCAGAGAGACACAGGGAAAGAGATCTTCCATCTTCTGATTCATCTCTTAAATGATGTCAATAGCCGGGCCTGGGCCAGGTCCAAGCTAAAAACCTGGAATGCCGTTCAGGTCTTGCACAAGAGTAGTGGAGGTCCAGGCACTTGGGCCATCCTCTACTGTTTTCTCACGCACGTTAGTAAGGACTTGGGTTCATGGGGAGCACCCAACTGACGCACCAGGATGGGATGCCAGTGTTGTATGCAGTGGTACAACTCGCTGTGCCATAATGCTGTCCCCAGAGTTTCTTTTTTTTTTAAGGTTTTGTTCATAGATCCTTGTGTGCAGGAAATGAGGAAAGCTGCTGTAAGCTGTTTGATGTACGAGTTTCAGATATTAAGGAGCAGTAATTCTATCTTCCTAAACGATTTGATCAGGCAAGAAGGAAGAGTAGAAACCTTTTTTTTTTTTTTTTTGACTTTAGTTTTTCATGATATGGTTTCATAGGTTTGGGGATTTCTCCTTGCACCCTTTCCATCGCCCCTGCCCGCACCATAGAAACCATGTTCTAAAATCTGTGCTCAACACTGAGATTGTAAGGAGGCAGCAAGGGAAACATGCTACTCAAATTTCCTCTTTCTCCTCACATTCTCTTCCTAATCCTCCTCCTCTTGGTTGTCTTCTTTGTTTTCTTCATTCTCTTCCTTTTTCTTTCTTCCTCCATTATCCATCTCCATCATCATCATCAAAAATTTCAATGACAGAGGGTGGGTAGAGTGATGCTGATTTATTCCCCAATATCTGGCTCAGACCCAGGCTAGAGACCTGAGCCGGGAGCTCAACCCAGACCTCCCATCGGGCTGGCCAGAAAGTTACTAGTGGAGTTGGGACAATAGCCTAAGTGGTCAAAGGGCTTGTTTGCTTTTGGCAAAGAGTGACACAGATATTAACCAGCTACCTGTGTCCCATATCAGGTTCCTGACAATAAGTTTCTGCTCTGGATTCTGATTTCTTGTCCATGTACAAGCTGGAGGCTTTAGTGATGGCTCATGCAAGAGCGGCAATGAGTTCCAAGTCTCTGGCTTCAGCCTGCTCAGGCCTGGCTCTTGCAGGTGCTTGGGGAGTGAACCAGGGGATGGGAAGTCTACCTTCAGAAATGTGAACATGTAAGGGTTCTTGAGACAGTTCACAGAAAGTAAACATTATGGGGGAAAAAAAACACTATGCATAGATGGCAGATTTATTTTCACACCAGAGTAAACACATCTTTTAATTTCATCTTCCCTTTCTGTAGGAGACCAGGAATTGTTTCCCAGCTAAAGGCTTACTGAAACCTGCCAAGATTTTTGGAATAAATAAAATCATAGCTGTTCATTGTGGGGCCTCCCACAATCCAGGCAGAAGCAAGAATACCTCAGGGTAGATGAGGCAGGTTTGGGGAGGGTTATTTTAAGGAAAAACAGAAGTTGTGACCAAGGTGTTGGATATGGTACCACAGGCTTAGCTGATATGGGCATGCCATATCAAGATGCGTGTTTAAGTTCCAGTTGCTCCACTTCTCATCTAGATTCTGCTGATGTGCCTGGGGAGGAAGCAGAAGATGGCCTTGCCAACCACACAGCAGATGCAAAAGACCTCTAAACTTATGGTTCAGCTTGGCCCAGCCCTGGCTGTTGTGACCAACTGCACTTTTTTTTAAAGTTGTGAAAGTTAACTTTATAAATGGCAAGTGCTAGATACCTAGCAATTTTGACAACTCTTGGTTGTTGCTGTAACGACTGTTTGCATGAACATTAGTTAAGTGTCCTTTATTTATGATGATGAGGAGGAGGATAGCAGAAAAATGTACAAGAACATTCCTGCCTGTTGGCTTAACCATGGGTCTTACTTTGATTGGAGGTTGTTCTCATTCACACTTTCACCTGCAGAGAAGAGTCTGATTTGATAGACTACATGGCACCGCTACATTTCAACAAGCGAAAGTTGGAAGAGGAAAATCGTAAGTTTAAATTGGCAATAGAAACCTTGGAAGAAGCCAAGGGGCAGTTGTCAGAGGAGTGTGCTGAGCGACGCTTTCAGGCGAAAAGGTGAGGTCTGGGGGCTCTGCCTGCCAGATGCCTGCCGGTTGTTTTGTTTAAGTTTTTATTAAGATACAATTTGCATAGTAGACAACTGAACATTTTAATATACTCAGTTTAACATTTTCCTATATATTTATGTGTTGGACAGTCATCACTGATGTCTAATTTCAGACCTTAAAAATATTTGAAAGAGGGAGAGGGATAGAGAAAAAAAATCTGTCACTGTGGCTGACACTGTGGCATGGTGAGCAAAGCTGCTGGCTGCAGTGCTGGCATTCCATGTGGGCACCAGTTCAAGTCCTGGCTGCTCCTTTTCTGATTCAGCTACTTGGAAAAAGCAGCCGAAGATGGCCTACGTGCTTGAGGCCTGGTACCCTATGAGAGACTCAAATGAAATTCCTGGCTTCTGGCTTCAGCCTGGGCCAGTTGTGGCCATAAAGTAGCACATTGAAGATTGTTCTTACTTACCCTTTCTGCCTCTCCCTCTCTGCTCTTTTATGTAACTCCTTCAGATAAATAAGTCTTAAAGAGAAAAAGACAAGAGAAAGGCAGGCAGGCCTGTACTTTGGCGTAGCAAGCTAATCCTCTACCCGAGGCACCAGCATCCCATTCCTGTCCTGGCAGCTCCACGTCTGATCCAGTTCCCTGCTTGTAGCCTGGGAAAACAGCAGAGGATGGCTCAAGTCCTTGGGCCCCTACACCCCCATGGGAGACCTGGAAGAAGCTCCTGGCTTCAGACTGGCTCAGTTTCAGCCATTGATGCCATTTTTGAAAACCTCCCTGTGCTTCTGTGTGCAAAAATCTACATTTTAAATAAAAAGAAATCTAAACAACAATAACAAAGAAATCTCTCATGTCTAGCTTAACTCCCTAAAGGACGGCAAAAGCCAGGGCTGGTTCAGACTAAAGCTAAGGGCCCAGAACTCAATCTGGACCTCCCGTGCTGGCACTTCAGCCATTAGCGACTGCTTCTAGGGTGAATATTTAGAGGAAGCAAGAAAGAGTGGAACTAAGGTATGAAACAAGCTATCCCAATGTGGAATATAGGTATCCTGCACCTTGCCCTAAGCCCTGCATTACACACTCGCTCCTAATTTCAGCACACTGTAATCACTCCAGATAGAAACCCAAAATCCATTAGCTGTCCTTGTCACATACTCCTGGCTGTTAGGATTCCATTTTCTCCTTCTATAAGGAAGTTTGAACTCCGTATTTATTGTATCAAATCCCATAATGTGTGATCTTAGTGCATCTGCTGTCTCCAGTTTGGCATTCTTTCACCATTCATACGTGCTGTCGCATGTTGCTGTTCTTATGGCCATATTCTGCACTACCATATTTGCTTATCTGTTGTGGACGTTGGGTTATTCTTGCAATTATGAATGATACCTCTGTGAAAATTTTTGTTCAAGGTTTTGTGTGGACATGTTTTCATGTCCCTGGAGTATTTACACTCAAGTGGAATTAGTGCATCATGCCGCAATCTACAGGAGGCATTGGAAGGAGCTACCACTTTGCTTAACTCTGTGTGAAGTCCTGTACTGAATACCAGGAGATTGATGGATGAGCCAGGTGTAATATGTGCCCTCTAGGCTTAGAAGGATGATAAAATACATGCATAGAAAAAAAAATCAGATGTTAGCCGAAAGACAGAGGAATAAAGGAATAAGTGATACGCCAGAGCAAGTATGAAGCTCCTGATAAAATGGGGTAGGAAGAGATAATCAGATACATGGAAAATGCTATACGATTCTCAAAAAATCTACATTGGGTGCCAAAATTCCTTTATAAAGATTGATTTGAATGAATGAATGATGGAGAGTGGAGAAATCTTCCAGTTATTCTACTCTGGAGGACGAGGACTTGCTTCTGGACGAGGCAAGCTCAAAAACTTTGCAGGAAACATGCAAACTTGGATGCTTTGTCTTCGCCCCCAGTTTACCTAGAACCTCTGTATTCAGAACTTCATAGATTTATTCTTATTGGAAAGTCAGATTTACAGAAAGAAGGAATGAGAGAAATATCTTCTTCCATTTGCTGGTTCACTTCCCAAGGGGCCACAATGGCCAGAGCTGAGCTGATCCAAAGCCAGGAGCCAGGAACTTCCTCTGGGTCTCCCATGCGGGTACAGGGTACCAAGGCTTTGGCCTGTCCTTGACTGCTTTCCCAGGCCACAAGCAGGGAGCTGGATGGAAAGTGGAGCATCCAGGATATAAACCAGCATCCATATGGGCATACAAGGCAAGGACTTTAACCATTTGGCTGTCATGCCAGGCCCTCCCTGTATTCAGAATTTTAGCACCTGGACTGGTGTTATGGTGCAGCAGTTCATAATGTTGCCTGCAACACCTGCATTACACGTATGTGCCAGTTTGAGTCCCAGCTTCTCTAGTTTTGACCCAGTTCTCAGCTAATGTACTTAGGAAAGCAGCAGAAAATAGTCTAAGTACTTGGAATGCAGTCTAAGTACTCCATCCATATAGGAGACCCAGATGGAGATGCAGACAGCTGGCCACAACCTGGCCCAGTCCTGGCTGTTGCGGCTGTTTGGGGAAGTGCACTTTTTGGGCCCATTTTCTAGAGGCTTGTCTATAGTTAACTTAGACAAGAAATGGCTGGAGCTAAGCCAATCGAAACCTAGGAGCCAGGAGCTTCTTCCAAGTTTCTCATGCGGATGCAGAATTCCAAGAACTTGGACTATCATCCACTACCCTCCTAGGCCATAAGCAGCCTGCTGCATGGGAAGTGGAGCAGCCAGGACTAGAATGAATTCCCATATGGGATGCCAGCACTACAGGCAGAGGATTAGCTTGTTGAACCACTGCATTTGCTCTGCATCACTCAAAATCTGAGTTCTTCATTATGGGGTTCTGCTTTCAATTGTCCCATTGGTGCTCTGACAGCATACCTAAATATTGGAAGATCTGCTATGGTTAAGATGTTTAATTGGATGTTAAATGTCCTTGGAACATGCATGTATTAAATGTTCGAACCCCAGAGAGGCCCTACTGGTAAGTAGGACAGTGGGACCCAGGGCAAAACCCTCAGGTCAGTGGGACCATGTCCTTGTCAGTGCTCTAGAAATGATCTTTTTGAAAAAAAAGTGTTATTATTTTATTGAAAAGTCAGATATAGAAAGAGGAGGAGAGACAGAGAGGAAGATCTTCTGTCTACTGGTTCACTCCCCAAGTGGCTGCCATAGCCAGAGCTGCGTTGATCCAAAGCCAGGAGCCTGTTCCAGGTCTCCCATAGAGGTTCAGGGTCCCAAGGTATTGGGCCATCCTCTACTGCTTTTCCAGGCCACAAACAGGGAGCTGGATGGGAACGGGGGGCTGACAGGACTAGAACTGGTGCCCATATGGGATCCTGGCATTCAAGGTGAGGACTTTAGCTGCTAGGCTACCGCTCTGGGACCTCTGGAGAAATTCTAAAAGCACAAGTTTGGATTCAGTCCATCTGTGCTCCATGGTTCATCACAACACCCACTGTGTACATTCTGCTGCCCTCCCGTCATCTCCCCCATCGTTGGCCTGTCATCAGAGCCCAGTTCTGTACCAAGTCATGTGGACAGTGGATTTCCCCAACTGTGAATTAAGGAAACCTTTGTTGATAAGTTAGTTATCTTCGATATTTTGTTGCAGCAATAAACAGCTGACTAGTTGTGGCCCCTCAATGAGCTGCTTTTTGTCTCTTGCCTGAGTTATCCATTCTTAGATGCACAAGGAATTGGAATATACTCCAATCTTGGTTGGTTTTGCAGTATATCCTAATTATAAGTGTATGCTGTGGTAATGATGAACTCTGCGATGGTTGAATTTTCCAGTTTGGATATACTTTTGTCATTTTTGCCCATACAGTTTGGCATGGATTTGGAACTCAGTAATCCTGTCTATTGAATGATTGATATAATTCCTTGGTAGGGAAATTGCTCGCCCTTTGAGGTTCTCAGAGAAGAGTTTTATAATCTAGTAAGAGATTCAAATAAGTATTTCCATGATATTGATTACTGAGGTTCATTTAATCAGCTTTCTATTGGTGGATGCTGAGGTCATTTACAGTGCTTTGTTATGGTAAACACCTCTGTAATGAACCTCTCTATGTATTCTATGAATTTTTGATTTTTTTTTATTCTTCTCACCCTCCATGGTGTATAAGCTCTGTAAGGCTCTGTAAGGATGAATGTGGGGTACAGAATCTGTTGTGGGGTCTCAGTAAATATTCATGGAATTGCATTAAGCAATATAATATATTTTTAGTAGGATTAAAAAAAATGGGATTGAGTCAATGATGATTACCAAAGGGATTCTCCCAGTCCTGACTTCAGGAAAACATGTCTTCCCTCCCTTCTCCCTTCCCCCATCAGCTTCCTCCTCTCCCTAAATTCCTTCCCTTGCTAAGGACTATGAAAGACCATGGGTATATTTTTTACCACTGTGGGCATCTGGTTTAAACCTTTGGTGATTGAAAGCTTGGTCTAAAAATAGCCCCTGGCTCTCCTCCTTGTCTTTGGCAGTTGTATTTTGAGGGTTTGCTCATTGCCTTCTGCCCCACCCCCACAGTGCACACTAGCCTATTATGAGACTAAATCTGTTAAAAGAAGAACTGGAAGAACTGAAAATTAGTATGAATGCTGCAGAAGAACAGAAGACCGTGCTCGAGGCCAGAACAAACACTTAGTAGGTCATCCAAGCACAGCATCTTTGAAATGGGTATATGGCTTACAAGGGCAAAATACCAGAGGATTGATTGGGGGTTGGTGGGGGGAAGGATGGCAATTGGGTATCGGTACACTGATGAATGATTTGGTCATACCTTAAAGAAGCCAAAGCTGGAGGGAGCCAGAGTGTGCTTTCGGTTTCTGCCAAGATGAAAATTCTTGACGCATTTCTCAGTCAGCTTTACAAAAGTTGGGTAAGATCAAGAAAAATCTCCAGAATGCTTCTAAAAGTGTTCCTACATATCTGATAACCGACATCAACCTGGTTTTCAAGCCGGGTGTTGTCCAACTTCCCCTTTTCTGGTTTTTAATAAGAAAATGGGCTTTTCCAACCCTGTCATGTTGCTGAGAAGCTCTGATGCACATTTCTTCCACTAGGGAAGCGAAGACTTGTTCTTTGAGATCAAAAACTTACTAGGATTAAGGTTTGAGTCAGGTTCTATGGAAATGCTCCTGCCCACTGAGAATGTGAAACTGCTGTTGAGTGCACTGCTGTCTTCCACGTCATGGTGGGTCACAGCAGTGCACTGATGCAGATGTGCTAACCAGGATGAAGGGACTCTGAAAGTCATTCAGACTGGTTCGCTTTCAGGCATTCACTGAAGACCTGCTGGTTGAGGGTTGAGTCTGTCAACTGCATGGGAACTTGGGTTGCAGGCCTGGCCAGAAGAACCTTGTGGCTTTCTGCAGCAAACACAGCTTTGCTCAGCATAGCTTTGGCCTCATTAGTAAAACATGGGCTTTAGAATCCTGCAGGATCACGTGCTTTGTGACCACTAGTGGTACTCTGAATGTATTAGGAGGCGCATGCACCAGGGGAGTACTGAGGAGCAACCACATGGAGGCAGGGCTGGGGAAATGGTCAGAACCCTACTGAGGAGTGGGACCACCTGCTGTTAAGATGTGGTTCCTAAAGTGTGCTAACCTGTGCAAAGCAGGGACCAGTGTTCCAGTGTCCTCCTGGATAAGACGACTGCACTCCCTGGCCTGGGGCTGGAAGCATAAGGGATCCAGAATCCAGAAAGCTTTCAATGTCTTTGTTTTGTGATTCAATAGCATTAACAACTATTGATAAAGAGTAGAGGCCTACCGCTAGAATCCTAATCCTTCACATTATCTAGTACTTTTATAATTTTAGAATTTGAGAAGAGCTTCCTTGGCATTCTGCCTCCATTTTAGACAATGCTTCAATCTTCTTTTCCAGTTCATCTATCTGCACAATGTTCCGAATATTCTAATAAAAGACAGCAGTGTTAGATTCAGTACCCAAGGTAAAAGAGCGTCACATTCATTCTCCCTAGCGAGTGCCAGCCCACACGACCACTCCATTGCATTTGCCCATGACCATCCTGAAGCACGCTAGAGTGGGGTCATGTGCCTGTCTCTGCAGCTTTGCCCCTGGTCCATTCTGCAGCCAACACCCTGGGCTGGCCAGCCCTGCCTGGGAACAGGTGAGCTGCAGCCCTGAGGCTCCAGGTTTGCTCTCTGCCCCATCTGGAATGCTCTTTCCCTGATAAAGCCCCTACCCAGTTTGTAATCAGAAGATGACATTACAATGCTGCTTTCCCTACCCACCCCAGTTTAAACGCCACTGTCTCTTGTTTTAACCACAGCGCTTTTTGCCATCTCACCCAGGAGTTCCCCAGGGTTACTTTGCTTCTTCTATCCTCAGCAGCTCCCATAAGTGCCTGCACACCAAGGTTTTTCAAACAAGGTGTTGCTTTCATTTGAATGTTTAAAAGTTGGCCACTTGCATGGATAATTGCAAAAATAACAAAGTCTGTCCAACATAAAAATCCCACCATCTCTTCAAACATAAGCACAACAATCCAACTTGTTTAAAGCTATCTTTATATATAGTCACCCTCTCAAAATGTGCACTGTCTGGAATATTAACTAGCATAATGTTTAATGTGCATGTGAAATGTGTGAAGCATTAGTTAATGAAATGTAATTGCATGTAACTTAGAGTAAGGACCAGTAGTAAGAATGTGTCAGCACTTGTTTGTACTAGAACGAGCTTGTAAGATGCGTACAACAACATAATGTTTAGCCTTCCCCGCCCCACCGACTGATCTGTGAGAGACACAAGAAACGCTGGAGACAGAGCCCCACTGAGTACAAGAAGGGGTTCAGTTGAGCAGACTAGATTGTTGAGGAACAAGACCCTTTCTAAGTACTCAGAGCTCGAACCGGAGAGAGCTGGGCACTGCCCTGTGCACCCTCCCCAGGGAGTGACCACCTCCTCACTGTCCTTCCTTGCACTACTTCCAGGAACTATAAAGTAAGTGAGCCCCAGGGACCCAGGACATGCCCTACAATGGGAGACTAAGAGGTTATGGACCTTCAGGTAAGGGAATGATAAGGACTTAGTATAAAATGTGAATGTGAATTAGGTGACAAAGTAGAATTTGAATTAAGTGTGTTGTTTGCGTAACAACAAAGCATTGAAAGGCAGACCTGGCAAGTCTCTTAACCCCTCATAACAAGCCTTAATTTGACAAACCAACAGGTTTTTTGTCCCCTAGGAGCCTGAGTCAACACATAGGCATGCCTCATCTCCCTACATTTGCTTCTGCCAATGTCTGTGCATTACAACTTACCTCTTCCTGGAGAGTCCTAATCTTAAGAACCAGAGCTCGGTTTCCTGTTTCCTGATTTATTGTGAGGAAATGGAAAAGAATTTAATTGACAAAATATTTTACACACATTTACCCCCTAAGGCATTTGACATTCCTTCTCTTTACCAACTTCATAAAGTGACAATGACAACATTTCAATGAGCTTATTCTGAATGTTTCCACTATGGGGCTCAGCCTGGGCTTGCAGTCTTGGGGGATCTGTACAGCGTCACTGTTCCTAGAGCCAACCTAACTACAAAACAGGAACATGCAGCTGCTTCCTCACTGCTTTGTGACCACACATTTCAAGCAGGTGTAAACTCCGCTATTGAAACCGCCCTTGGAACCAGAGAGCTTATATTGAAGCTGTTCCCAGTTGCAATGTCACCACAGAGCATGCACATAAAAGCTACTTCATAATTAACAGCCCCAAATGCAGAACTGTCAGAAGGCGATGCATTCTAGGACAAGATGTTTGCCAGAATGCTAGCAGCAAATCCTGCAGGCAGAGCTCAAGATAAAGATTTTATGGGAGGCTTCTCTTTGTTTATACACATCTCCTGATTTTTATAAAATGAGCGAGCACTGCCTTTATAAGATACAAATGAAAAAAAAAATCTCAGGCTAGGAATCCATTGACATAAAAACAAAGAATACTAACTCTGTGTCCCAAGAACTTGGAATCAGAAGCCTTGAGTTCAGTTCTAGCTCTACCATTTATCAATCAATAATGAACACACCAAGTATCTTCCATAAAGGTATAAACTTCCACTTCCTAACTCACAGAAATTGTGTGATTGAACATTATGTGTTTCTAAATTATAAAAGTACTAGATAATGTGAAGGATTAGGATTCTAGTGGTAGGCCTCTACTTTTTATCAATAGTTGTTACTGCTATTGAATCACAAAACAAAGACATTGAAAGCTTTCTGGATTCTGGATCCCTTATGCTTCCAGCCCCAGGCCAGGGAGTGCAGTCGTCTTATCCAGGAGGACACTGGAACACTGGTCCCTGCTTTGCACAGGTTAGCACACTTTAGGAACCACATCTTAACAGCAGGTGGTCCCACTCCTCAGTAGGGTTCTGACCATTTCCCCAGCCCTGCCTCCATGTGGTTGCTCCTCAGTACTCCCCTGGTGCATGCGCCTCCAAATACTTTCAGAGTACATTCAGGAATTTAGGGAGAGGAGGAAGCTGAAGGGGGAAGTGAGAAGGGAGGGAAGACATGTTTTCCTGAAGTCAGGACTGGGAGAATCCCTTTGGTAATCATCATTGACTCAATCCCTTTTTTTTTAATCCTACTAAAAATATATTATATTGCTTAATGCAATTCCATGAATATTTACTGAGACCCCACAACAGATTCTGTACCCCACGTTCATCCTTACAGAGCTTACACACCATGGAGGGTGAGAGGAATAAAAAAAGTCAAAAATTCATTGAATACATAGAGAGGCTCATTACAGAGGTGTTTACCATACAAAGCACTGTAAATGACCTCAGCATCCACCAATAGAAAGCTGATTAAATGAACCTCAGTAATCAATATCATGGAAATACTTATTTGAATCTCTTACTAGATTATAAAACTCTTCTCTGAGAACCTCAAAGGGCGAGCAATTTCCCTACCAAGGAATTATATCAATCATTCAATAGACGGGATTACTGAGTTCCAAATCCATGCCAAACTGTATGGGCAAAAATGACAAAAGTATACCCAACCTGGAAAATTCAACCATCGCAGAGTTCATCATTACCACAGCATACACTCATAATTAGGATATACTGCAAAACTAACCAAGATTGGAGTATATTCCAATTCCTTGTGCATCTAAGAATGGATAACTCAGGCAAGTAAAGAGACAAAAAGCAGCTCATTGAGGGGCCACAACTAGTCAGCTGTTTGTTGCTGCAACAAAATATCGAAGATGACTAACTTATAAACAAAGGTTTCCTTAATTCACAGTTGGGGAAATCCACTGTCCACATGACTTGGTACAGAACTGGGCTCTGATGACAGGCCAACGATGGGGGAGATGACGGGAGGGCAGCAGAATGTACACAGTGGGTGTTGTGATGAACCATGGAGCACAGATGGACTTGTGCTTTTAGAATTTCTCCAGAGGTCCCAGAGCGGTAGCCTAGCAGCTAAAGTCCTCACCTTGAATGCCAGGATCCCATATGGGCACCAGTTCTAGTCCTGTCAGCTCCCCGTTCCCATCCAGCTCAGTGTTTGTGGCCTGGAAAAGCAGTGGAGGACAGCCCAAAGCCTTGGGACCCTGAACCTCTATGGGAGACCTGGAAGAGGCTCCTGGCTTTGGATCAACGCAGCTCTGG